CACACATTTCGATTATTTCGAACCAATTATTTCTTTTTTGTTTCATTTATTGAATATAGTTCTAGAAAAATCTAAAAAATTTTTTATTAAATATAAATTAAATTAATTCTCCATATTTTCCCTTTGACGTAAAATTTTATTTCAATATATGCAATTTGCACATTTAGATTTTTATTAAGGATGCACAAAAGAATCTCATCCGGGGAGAGCAGTAGGGATAAAACCGTGTCGTTTGACAATACTGAATCCAATCCTGCGAATCAACTCTAAGTCCATATAAATTGAAGGGATCCCACAGATTCGTTTGAGCTCTATTTTCAGCCGACACTTTTTCCGAGATTGTATTTCGTTTAATGTATTCGGCAGCGTTAAATTTTGGCCCCAAAACCCTCTTAAACGAAAAAGAAATAGTTTCTTTCCTGCCGGAACACTTTTTGTGTTGAAATATTATAATAAAGTTAATTAAGTTCTGAGATGTTTCGAAAATTAACGAATAATTTACATAACTAGGGAGTTGTTTTTAAAATTTTCGCTGAATATACTCAACCTGAATTAGCATTACAGTTGTTGTAGATTTGCATATGCATTATACTTGCACAATACGAACCCACTTATTACCCATTAGTAATGTCAACTAGATGATAAATGATCTGTGTTACCGTGACGGTTTATACTTCATTGACCTTTAAATTATACCCTACAATTTACTTTTAAAACATTAATTAATTAGTTTAATTAACTGGAGGATAAAATAACCGGAGGTTTTTTTAACGCAAAGCTTTTACGTAAAAACATATCCCAGTTCTGTTAACCTTTACAAACTGTGCGTGTTTTGTGGTTTTCCTAGCTCATTTTATTGGAGTGGTATACTGTACAAAATTCATTAGGAAATATGAATCCTCTCTCGTGTGACATTTAAAAGAAATAAAATCTATTCGAGTTGAAGTTCTTTTTAAAACGATCGAAAAGACCATTCATGAAATGCGGTTTTCAATGAAGTTATTCCAATATTATTTCTATTTGGGATAATAATAAATTGATAGATCGTGTTTTAATATTGTATTTTTGAAAAACTTTTGAAAGCACTGAAAATATTTTTTTATGAAACTGAAAGAAACACCGTAGATATTTCTATCTAAAATATGTTTGCTGCCACATCCAGAAATTGACATAAAAGTTCAACTGTAAACTTAGTCGTGAAATCCCATTGCCGGATATTGAGTAACTTTAGGATAGGATGGAGTTGTGTCAAACCCGGATGTTACGTTGAGAAGTGAAAATCATTTCGTAGCTTCCTTAAAGATTTGATTAGAAATTGATTTGCTCATACTTTATCGTCATTCTTTTTTTACTAAATATATTAATATATATCAGTGGTGTCCATAACGTCGATCGCAAAGCAGTCTGAAATATCTAATATCTAGGCCTCAGAGCAAAAAAAGGAAGGTTACTTTAAACCTTTCGGTCGATCTTAGCAAGACATTTATATAAAAAGTCGATTTTGATCAAAATCATGCTCTAAATCGATTAAACGTCAAAATTGTTGATTTTCGAAAAATAACTCAATCATAACTCAAAAACAAAAAGCGATGGAGAAATACTTTTTATACATAAAACCTTAATAATGGACCATAAAGACTAGATCCATAAAAAGATTGAACCCAATTATTACCATTTTTTATTTATAAGCTCTAAACCGATTAAACATTAAAATTGTTGATTTTCGAAAATTAACTCAATTATAACTCATAAACTAAAAGCGATGGGGAAATATTTTTTATACATAAAACCTTAGTAATGGACCATAAAGACTAGATCCATAAAAAGATTGAACCCAATTATTACCATTTTTTATTTATAAGCTCTAAATCGATTAAACATCAAAATTGTTGATTTTCGAAAATTAACTCAATCATAACTCAAAAAATAAAAGCGATGGAGAAAAACTTTTTATACATAAAACCTTAGTAATGGGTGATAAAAACTAGATCCACAAAAAGATTGAACCCAATTATTACCATTTTTTATTTATAACCACTAAATCGATTAAACATTAAAATTGTTGATTTTCGAAAATTAACTCAATTATAACTCAAAAACTAAAAGCGATGGGGAAATACTTTTTATACATAAAACCTTAGTAATAGGCCATAAAGACTAAATCCATAAAAAGATTGAACTCAATTATTACCACGTTTCTCTTGACTAGATCTTGATCAAAAATTAGTGGACACACTGATATATATTAATCTATAATTATAAATATGTTAAAATATATGTTAATTTTGATAATAAAGTTTTACTTTATCGTAAAATTTGTATCGTTTTACGTATGATTTATTTTGCTATAATACGTTTTGTTAAATTTATCGTAGTTGTCAATATACTGACTTGTTTATCTACATTAATTTATTGGATTCGTAATAAATGAGTTTGAAATACACTTCGCATAGACGTTAAATACACGCAATAAAACTCAATTGCAATACGGTACTTAAATTTTTTATTAAGTATTTTTTTTAATTTTCCGTTACAATAGTTTTATTGTTTACCAATTTAAATTTAATTATTATTTATTAAAAATGAAATGGTTTGAAATATTAAAACAGAAATTGCCAATTAAAAATTGTGCTGTGAAAATATTCGTTGTACGGAACTAATGAAGTGAAATAAATCGTAGAATAAATACAGTTTATAGATATATTAGATAATAGAAGAAGAATTTGATTTATAAGTCGGAAAGTAGGACCACATTTATCATGAAATAATTGGATGACCTTTTTATTTGGTGATAATATAAATGGGCGCGACGATGTATTTATCCAAGACGTAAAATACTATTAACGCGACCGTTCGGGCTTTGTTTCAAGATTTATGCGGTAACTTTAAAGTGTCCAACGCTTCCCCCATTTCTGGCCAACATGCTGTACCGAGGGGAAGAATTATTGGTCGTTAGCTTTGTTTATTCAATAACGAATAAATCCGGTCTGAGTTATAAAATAAATAATACTTTAATTGGACTAAAGTCAATGTTAACCAAGCATTTTAATTAATCAATACAATCTCAACACAAATACATAATTATATTAAATTAATTCATATTAATATTGAATTAGTTTCCTTTCTGTATATTACACACGATTAATATGAAACTTTCTAAACCGTCTTGTATATACGTAGCATATAGTGTAGACAGCGTAATCTCTTTGTGTTTAGTCAACGTTTAGGTCCCTCTAATACCATAACATGCGTTGAAGCACTTAGATTTAACAATAAACAAGGTATTGTCATATAAGATTAGTCCATTATGCTGGATTTTATTGGGTTATTGATACAAAATACTGGATTATTTTCATTAATCTCAATTTTTTTTGTTGCAAAAACCCATTGCAACACTCAACAACGATTCTGAATGTAGGACATTTGGAAACTGCTTGTGAATAGAACGTGTGTGCACATTTCCGTGCATTGGTTCCGCGAACAGGTCCAGATATTTACGTCAAACGTTCAATCGGTTCTAATCTGCGTCAGGTACGTTTTCGTGCCAGTTTACCAGACAGCTCTCGTAGAGACCCGGAGATGAAGTTTACATTTTCCGATATGGCAATTCACTACATGTCAAGTTCCTTCGATTTCTACGAATATTTCTTATCTATATATATTTTTTTTAATTTAAACTTACGAAATCTATGTAGAACGAAAAATCTTTTGTAGCACATTAATTTATACATATTGAGATAATCAAACATGCCAACTCGATCATTTTAGGAACGAGGGTTTTGGTTCGGTTGTGTTTCCACAACCCGGTTACCAGGAAGTCGATAGAGGAAGGTTAGGAGATGTGCGTACTCATGAATAATGGATACAGCTCTGTCATTTTACACAAGTCCATCAATGTAATTAATGCCCCTCGAGTCAGAAACACACTAACGCTAGCAACGTTACGCTTTGAACTTTTCTGTCACCACTGAAAAAAACTAGATATACGATTCTGAACACGGTACGGATGGATTTAGTTCGGCAAATAACGAGAGAGCCGTCAAAAATTCCTATTTTTTTATCGCAACACGTTTATATTTTTAAGATTTTTTACGAAACGTCCACGTTAACTTTAGTAATGTCATCATCTAAACAGTTTACAAAGTTTAACAGTCTCAACCAACTCTAAACGCCTCAAAGCACACAATTGCATATTAAACAACAATAACTTCCTTAAGTGATGAATACTGATTACTTAGATCAATACTTAGTTATTGATCTTAAATGGTAATCTGGAATGTTTGAATGAAAAGCCGTAGAAGAAAGTTTGAAATCTATTTTTAATTAGGAGTGATTTTTTAAAAATTACTTCCGCTGTGTTACTGGAAGTTAAGGATTGAGTTATATCTTAAATGAAAGCTGGAAATGTCCTCCTGGTTCAAATTCGATGAACCACCCTGTACATTATCTCAAAGCGCTGTCATCTTTTATTTTCTCCTAGAGGCGAAAATTAAATTCGTTATTTTTTCTGATTACAAAAATATGGGGTTATATAGGCCTATTTCTTATTGTTTTAGAATAAAGCTAAAAATAAACTTTTTTTAGTGTTGTCAAAGAAATTACAGTTTCCTTTAAATTACGGTACTATAACTAGAAATTATTCTACTAAAAAATTATATCAAATTTACTTTATTTTCTAATATGTTAAACTTTTCGTAATCCATCTTAAAATAGGATTTTTAATTTGAATACAAACAAATGTTGCTGTTTATTTGAATTAAAAAAAATATATATGAGCGCCATCTATCAATTAATAAATTAAGTCATTTAATAATAATACTTCTATTAAATATTAATAAAAAATGTGAAATAATGCAATCTATTCCAACTTTTGTGTAAAATAAATATAAATTAAATAGTTCAACAAATGTATTTGTTTTAAATATCAGAAATATGTTTCTTTAATTTTTAGTTATAATTTACAGGAAACTGTAAATTTAATTACTTTAACGACGCTAAAAAAAAGTTTATTTTTAGCTTTATTTTAAAACAATAAGAAATAGACCTGTTTGGCCTAAGAATTGTTGATCGTTTACGTTTTTTATTGTACTTAATCCATGTAAAGTCGATATGAAGTAATTTTATAGCATTTTGACAGTAACCTAACCTCAAATTTCATTATTCATTAATTTCTTATTGTAATTCATGTTTATCGGGTTGAAACCATTGAAAACGATAATCTTAGCATGTCAAGAAGGAAAACCATCCAATCCATGAGAGTTTTGATGAAGAATTGGACGAAAATCCGTACATTAAATATTTGAATATATTTTTGAAGCTGGACGTTAAAATCTAAAAGAAAATGTTCCGAAATCAGCAAAACAAAGTTAAAGCAATAAAACTACAACATTTGATGCATAAATATTGTTAAAATAGAAATTTCAATAATTTTTAATAAAATTTGATTGGTGACATTTGACATTTCGAAGTTGGCAATACCGGAGAAATTTAAATTACGAATTTCAAGTTGAAGAATTTAACCAATCAGAACACGTTATTTAAAACGTTCTTGCAATAAACAAACGAGAGGGGTGGATTTTAGTGTGATTTAGAACGTGATAAGGTGCGCACGCTAATTTTGTCCTCCAGCATTTTAAAAACCAAAATAAAAGTTAGGTTACTTGTCAATCACCATTGTGACATAACCTCAAAAATAATAAACTTATTATTTAAGAAGTTAAATAAGAAGATTGTTTGGATTAAAAGTATTCACCTTTAATAATAAACAAGAAAGTTAACTCGTTCCTGATCCAATTAATCCAGTATACCATTCCGAAGAATTATTCCAATCCAATCAAGAATCATTGTTACCAATACAAGTTTCCTTATCCAAGAACTTCAGTAATCTACAAGATAAGCTAAGTAATAATTTTCAATTTCATTATTATCCGTTTTTCTTTTTTATTTTAATTTCCATTTAAAATTTCACTTGGCTTAAATACGATTAATTTGAGTTATTATTTTGTTTGGTTATGTTATTACAATTTCATTATGTGTAATTCAATTATTAAAACTGGTTAATTCATTTACTTCGTATTAACTACAAGTTAAAAGATAATTAATTATTTCACTGAGGGTTTTGTTAAAATTTACTTATTTATCTTTGTACTCGTTTACTGAATCATTTGAAAATTTGACAACGTTGTAGAACAGTGTTGAAAGTTAAATTAAATTAAAAATTTTTTTAGGCATATTTCAAGAATAGCATTGTGTTCTAAAAATCGAAGGGAATGACCCAAAAAAGGAGTTAATAATAAAAAAAAAGGATTTTAGAGATACCACAAGTTAATTGTAGGTAGCAAGGTTGGTTGCCTACTGTTATCATTATCCTTTGTCGTTGACACATAACCAGGGCTCGTTGCCATCAAACTCGGTTTGTAGTTAATTCGGTAACCAGAAAAGCGACTACGACGTCGGCGGAGACGCGACTTGACGCCACAACGTTGAAACCTGCCTCGCTTCGCCGCACCATTATTTAAACTGCTTTTAATTATCGTTCGTTCTCAGTTTTCAATCGTATTCGGTACCTTGATGGATGCTCTTTCTCGAAACGAAGGCACGTCACCGTTCTCTACTTCGGTCTTCAGATCGGTAGCAGAGTGGAACAAGAAGACGTGAAAAGGGAGAATGAAGGAACGGGAGTTTAATTAATGCCACCTCCTGTGAAACGAACGAATGAACGGCAGCGCGCGTCCCAGAGACGATATTCATGTGCGCGCCGAGGTAATATTATACGTACATTGTTCTAATTACGATTTTGCGCGGCATAAATTAATTATACCCACGCCGGTAACGTGACGCAACTTCTTACCCCGTTTATAAAGGACCGTAATCTGTTCTAGCGGGAATGTTAAATGGGTTCGTCCGTTCGCTGTTTGTTCGTGGCTTAAACTGAAAATTAAAAATCAGTTTAATTAATAACAAGATTTTTCTTTAAGTTTTTGTTTTTGGGTTAATATAACGAACCATTAATAATGATAAGATTTGAAAGAAAAATATAGTAGATATCGATCGAACGCCTTTTTCGCAATAAGGGATGGAAAAGAACCAGAAAAGTTCAACTTACTTTTATAAATCGATCTCACCACGGAACGCATTGCAATCAAGCTATAAGAAATGCCGTACGTTACAAGTTCGAGCTGTCACACATCCGGTGTGATATCAGGAAATTCGAGATCGTGATTCGAATAAAAATACATAATATATATACTTATTGGGGTATCTACGAAATCTTGTTATAAAGTAACCCAAAAAATGGAATGAATAAATCTTTTACTTTGAACTCACGAATGAAACAAAATAATCATTTTAAATTTAAACCGTTTTATGAATAAAATATATTTTCAAATAACGTGTTTAAATTCGCATATGAACATTCCAAATCCAATTGTTTGTGCAAAGTATATAAATTCAAACAAAACTATTTAATTTATTTAAATTAAATTGTATAGCAGATTTTTTTAAAAAAATTTTAAGGCGTTTTAACTGTTAGATTTACACTCGGTTTTAGTAGCATCAATTTGAAAGCTTTCCTCTGTCTATGTCCCATAAAGGTTTAATGAGCCTGGAAAATATTGTACTAATGCCAACATAAATGTAGGGCTTTATCATGAGTGAATGTAGAGACCAACTGCCGCATAACTACTGCCCGGAAAATCCGTGTACCTATTAAGAGGAGATGTAATGGTTATCCGCGTATCATCCAGTACCAGTACATACTCGATACGGTAATGGTATTGCACTGCCACTCATTGTTTTACTGTTTGTATTGTTGGAAATATCACTGATACCATTTAGAAATTTTTCAGATTCAACTATTTTTTGTGTTGCTACATATCTCAACAAAAAATATTCCGTTTTTATTTTTAAACCTGAAAAGATTTTGTTGGATATATTTTGTTATATTTGAGAGTAAATTTTGCTGTGGGATTAGTTCGGCAAATTGTGTAAATATCGATCTGGTTCAAAACAAACAGTACAAAATAACATTGAAGTCTACTTTGAAAGGGGGTTGATTGTAGACTTATGGTAATTACTTGGTTTCATTAATGCGGAGGAGAGGCGAAGAGAAAGCTGAGTACTCGAATACCGTGCAATTAGCTAAGCGGGTGTATCTGTTATCTTTTCAAGCATGTCTAATGTGATTTACCTACATAACACGTAATGCTATTATTTTAAGACGACTTAATCGATTATCACCTTGTTTCTGTGGAACCATTGATATGAAGGATTAAATCCATATAATACAGAAACACGATTTTTTTCTTCTTTCGTCTATAATTTCTGTCTTTGGTCATTCTTTCTCTCAGCAAATAAATTATTACTGTGTCAAATGCACGGTGTTTATAAAACGCGTCTTTTTAAAAGCAAAGGTTGGGTTGGTTTCCAGTTGAATGGGTAAATAACTTAAAAAAAGTTTACACCAAAAATTACTGCAACAAATGTATGCCAACAAAAAGTTAGTAAAAATTAGGTTATCTTCCTCAGAGGGTAAATAACTAAGAAAAGGATTGGGTTAGCTTTTAATGGGCAAATAAAAATAAAAAGTTGCATCATATTAGCAAATAACTAAAAAGAGGTCAGTTTCAGTTGGGTTGGGTCTGGAGTTATGCTTTTGAAATTAAGAAGAACGTGGAAAAAACCAGTAGAATTCAAAGAAGAATACTGATTTGAGTAACTGGCTTCTAAAGGATCTGCGCATAGAGTTGCTGGTATAAAAAGGAATGCGGTTATCGAGAAAACATATGATCAGAGTGAGTCTATATAATAATTAATGCAAGAATTTGAATCCAGCACATACCTTTTTGAATATGTGAGGAGAAAGACAAGAGCGGAAACAAACCAGACGTTCCAGAGCACACTAACACCAGAAATTGGCATAAACATTATAGCTACAGTGACACAATAAAGTCTACATACAGTTCGGAAAATGATAATATCTCAGCTTCCGAAATGTCAAATTTTTTAACAAAGCATGTAAGAAGTCCATATTAGTTCTAATTTTGCACTATCACTAGAACTAACACAAGACCTAGAATAATTCAGGGTTTAGCAGTCTTGAGAGATGTGCGGCTAAGCCCGAATGTTTCTAATTCTAGGTCTAATGTTAGTTCTAGAAACACTTATAAGTAGCGCTAGTTAGCATAAGATATCACGATGTTGTATATTTTTATTGAACTAAAACTCTAACATAAGACCTAGAACTAGAATAATTCTGATTTAGCCGTCTGGAGAGACGTGCGACTAAATTTACTGCTGTAGCCTTCACTTCGTAGCACAAGTTGAACTGTTTCGACTTTGTATTAAAATAATATAGACTTCTAATACCCTTCATTTAAAAAATTCATTGAATTACATTTCAGGAGCTAAGATCATTTTCTGGGGTGTATGTTGACTTTATTGTATACGTGGTTGCCAGGGTGGAGCAAGGAGAGTTGCGGGGTAGCCGGTACATTTCTCCTTCTTCCCTGTCCAGGTTCGTAGCAGTATATGTTAAAAAATATAAGCGATTTGTCTGTTTTGTTTTGTATGATGAGAAAGGGTGAGTCCGAAGTGAGGTGGATCCACCGAGATACTTTGAAGATATAGAATATTTCTAATGCTCAAGAGAATATAGTTCGCAAGACGCCACGAAGAAGATGTCACCATATACAGTGTGTTAATTAATTATCGTACCCGACGTCATCATTGCAAGTATGCAACCAACATCACAGTATCGGTATTGCAATACGCGGTTTGCGTATGATGCGTATTGCGCTGTAATATTGGTTGCATACTTGCAATGATGACGTGGGGTACAATAATTAATTAACACACTGTAGATGAAATGCCTCGACGGGCAGTCGTGATCATTCAGAGCAATAATTCATGTGCATCTAAAATTGCATGATGAAATAAATTTTGATCCTAACGTTTTAATAGTAGTAAAGTAAATTTACTGTTTGTGATTAATTGGTTAAAAATGTCGTTTTGTTTTTGTGTTGTATCTCATTAACTTAAATAAATAACTAAGATGCTTCACGAAAAACAAGAAAGGAACTAAATGGTTCTCCTCAATAAACCTATTTTGTTGTACGTGCAAGTAATTTTGAAGGAAAATAAAGTGGACGCTGTAATACTCGTATCTCCCTCATGAATGTTTGGGTGGGTTATTTTAGAAAACTAAGGAATTATATTGGGGTATTCTTTTGAGTAAGCGCGCCCGTTTGAAAAGAATTTTTAATATTTTAATAAATAATGCATTTCCTGCACCACCGGGGCAACGGAGCGACGTGTCTCTACATATTCATAAGAATATATTTCAATTTTGATGGTTACACAGAACGTTTTCGGCTTGATGTAAGGGACTTTTAGGTAATTACTTTCTTGAACGTTGCGATTCGAAGGTTGCGACCCATTTTGAGGCGACCGAATCTCTAGAGATTACCTTCAAGATGTTATAAGCTCGTAAATACATAACGAGGTTAAATATACGATAAACTTGGGGAACTTTTTAGCTTTGCGCTTTTCAAACTTTGATAAATATAACTAAAAGCGAAGTAACTCTTTTATAATTCAAAGAAGGAAAAGTTAACACCGTTGGTTTTGTATGAAACGTGTTCTGTATCAATAAACGATGGTATTCTTGGGCTTGTGACCATTTTCCTTGGGAAATTTAATATTGCAGAGCAAATTCTTTTCTGCGGTATAAAATTGTTCTCAAAGAATACGCGAACAAAGATAAGTTTATTAGATTTGTTCTAAAAGACGAGCAATTTTTTGTTAAAAGTTTTATAAATGTCTTGTTTTAGAAATGTTAAAGATGCTTAAAGATCTTAGAGATATCTGTGATTATAAAAGATAATGGTGATGGTTTAGGTAAATATTTTCCGAGTAAACTCGACTGTTGCTAGAAACAGCAATTTTAGAGCGTATTATCCTTAAAGCTCTTGTACAAAGGATAGAAAAATCTCATTTCAGTTCAACGCAACGCCAACTACACTAACGTCTAAAAAGGCTTGCATCACAAGAAATAATTAAAAAACATTTTACTTTAAACATATTTTAAGGTCACTTTTATCCACAACAATTTCATTAAAATATTTTAATTCTTTTATATTAAATTTTTACTGGTTTCGAATTTAATGTATTTATGAGTTTTTTAAAAATAAACAATATATTTTATAAATTTATTAACTCGACCGGTTTCGACCTAGACCATCGTCAGGAGTCTCGTTGTATAAGGTTGAGGAATTTTGATATATCATGAATGGACTAAACTTAGAAAACGAGAATAGGGATGTAGCAGATGTGTTAGGTGAAACATATAACATATAATCATTATATGTTTCACGAGACTCCTGACGATGGTCTAGGCCGAAACCGGTAGAGTTAATAAATTTATAAAATATATTGTTTATTTTTAAAAAACACATAATATATCAATATGGATGAAAACCCATTTACCTATTAATGTATTTAGTTTAAAACTATTACATCAACATACACTCCATTACATTCGTGGCAATAAAAGACGTATTTCTCCTGTGTAGACGGTATCCCCAGTGGCGGTCATAATATTTTCATATGACAGTCGAGGCTAAGAACATTTTACCTTTAAGAGCTCGTACGTAGTTTAGTGCGGCTTATACACTGCGGTACCAACTACCTAATGCAGTAAGAGGCAGGTGGACATAAAATATACACTGTTCACCGTCATCGTATGTCCGAAGGAGATAGCGTTACGGCAACGTAAAGCGCTTAGCATCGTCCTCTCTTCGGAAACGAGACCGTTTTGTGTGTGTGTCTCTGTGTACATAGAGGAGACTAGAGTTTCATAACTTTACGAACTGGTATGATGTAACCAAAGCACGAAGGAAGTTGCCCAAATTTTGAGTACTAATGAGTGGCCCCCGGTGTTTACCGAAAGTATACTCTGGGCTGAGCCCTCGAAGAGCCTATGCCTTCCTGTTCTTCATTTGGATGGCGTCCATCTACAGTAACGGCTTAGGTGAGTTATTTGTGTACTAACTTTATATACGAACTTTGTGAATATATTATACGTGAACGTGCATGTTATTGATTTAAGGTACGTTTCTATTTATTTTATTTTAAAATAATTAACTTTTAAATGATCTAAAAATTGCATCTCCAGGTATTTTCTCGACGTAGATTTATGATTACGTGATAATAAGCCATGATGCATGCTAATACAATTCGGGAAAGCAAGTGGGGCGTGCGAAATTTTCTGGCGTTATACCCGTTCGTATTCAAAGGGAGAATTTCAACATTTGCGAGTATTTCACTGGGGAGAGGTAAAAGCAAGGCGCATATGTCAAATTGATGTACGAGGGCGTTGCGCGGCTCTCTGCTACAGCCCCTATATTGCTCATTTCAAGCGCGATATATTCCGAGATTGGTCTAACCAAGTTTTTTGATTAATCCTCTACGGGACAAAATTAACTGCCAATCCTTGTTGTCTTCATTTTTCTCTCATCAGCAAAACACGTTATATCATTTTTTTTTTGTTTTATGGTACATTCTTTATGGGATTTTTTTTGAAATGATCAAAATTCACAGATATTTGAGGAAAATCGATTTTACTTAAAAAATCAAAGTTAGCATCAAAATTGTATTTGATAAATAATGGAGTAGAATGCGATGACATTAAGCTGAAGTCGCTTAGATCAGTGGTGAAAGTGTCATCGTCACTTTTGTGAACCATTTGAAAGAATTTTGTACAGGGTGGGCCAAATTGGACACTTTTAAAGGGAAACTCCTCTTTCTATAAAAGATAGAGGAAAAATGATATCACTGTCTGAGGTGTAATGAACGAGATATCAAGAGTCCTATATTTTTGGAAAGGAAATTTTATGCTCTCGTCGAATTTGCAAAAATATATATATAAAAAATATATCTTTGAGGGGAAGCTAACTTATTTCATTGAATTCTACCTAAAAAGTTCATCCATATTGATATATTATATGTGTTTTTTAAAAATAAACAATATATTTTATAAATTTATTAACTCGACCGGTTTCGGCCTAGACTATCGTCAGGGGTCTCGTTGTATAAGGTTGAGGTTAGGAAACACATTTAAATTTACATTCAAATTTTGATATATCATTAATGGACTAAACTTAGAAAACGAGAATAGGGATGTAGCAGATGTGTCAAATGAAACATATAATCATTATATGTTTTACGAGACTCCTGACGATGGTCTAGGCCTAAACCGGTAGAGTTAATGTATATAAAGCTGAAGTCGCTTAGATCAGTGGTGAAAGTGTCATCGTCATTTTTGTGAACCATTTGGAAGAATTTTGTACAGGGTGGGCCAAATTGGACACTTTTAAAGGGAAACTCCTCTTTCTATAAAAGATAGAGGAAAAATGATATCACTGTCTGAGGTGTAATGAACGAGATATCAAGTGTCCTATATTTTGCAAAGGAAATTTTATGCTCTCGTCGAATTTGCAAAAATATATAGGTGTTCCGTTTAAAAAAATCATTTTTATGTCAATAACTACTAAAATATTGCTTTGAGGGAAAGTTAACTTATTCCATTGAATTCTACCTAAAAAGTTGCTTTGGAAATGTTTTCACAGAAAGGAAGATTTATCAATAAGAAACGACTTTTCGAAAATGCACTTTTTTGAAAAACACCTGTATGTCTGAAACCGTAAGAGATATCGATATGCGGTTTTCGCCATTAAGTTTCCTATAAAAATCGAGCCTCAGACACTAATATCATTTTTCCTGTATCTCTTATAGAAATAGGAGTTTCCCTTTAAAAGTGCCCAATTTGGCCCATCCTGTACATATAAATAAAGTCGTCCACAAAAAACTTACATTACAAATAGCCATTTATAAAAACTTTGAGAAATTGGAATAATAATCAACTAGTTCTTCGATTCTTTTAGCATCAGATTATTTTGATATGAATTGAGACCATGATAAATTTGGTCTAGAAAACTATTTTTCTTACCCCATCAACATTGAAGATGAGGAAGCGCTTAGGGTTTTATGCTCGCTTGGATACAAATTTTCGACATATTTTCGCCCCTCTCGTTATCGCGACCTATAAGATCTATTATAATTTTAGCCCTCCAAAGGTTGAGGGCAAATGTAGGTCCTTGATGAATCTTAGTATTGTCCTGAGGTCTTGAACCTTTATGTTGGTAGGTGTCAAGGGAGTTTTACCGAAGCATAGTCGACAAGTTTGATCCTCAGCTTGTCCAATATGAAAGAGGTGGTATTTTAGGGGCGTATGGCCGGCTAGATAACCTGAGAGCATCCTTAGATCCCCTTTGCTGAAGCATAAAACCTCTTGGGTTTTGTTTTGCGACGGACTTATCATACTCTTCTTCTGCACCCGTTATGTTAAGACATGCTAACAGCTGAATTTGTGCCAGCTGTTGTTGTGCTGTCTTATGTTTTGTTTTTAGCCACCAAACCCATAGCTACCTTTTGCTATTGCTGCCTTTTTCCTCACCTTATCTAAGTGTGAGCTCCTTACTGTCTAGTATTATCCCTAGGTATTTAACTTCTCTTTTTAGGTTAATAGTTCTGCTTTCAATGGAGGGTGCTTTTATTTGTAGCTTCCTTCTCCGAGTGAAAGGGACTATTTCGATTTTATTGGGATTGATGCTGAGCCCGTTGCTTCTACACCAAGTACTGGTGAGTAGTAGGGCTTTCTGCATTAGTAGTTATGATTGTATCATATTTAGCACTCCCCCTTGGGGCCATCCTTTTAGCGCCTTTATAGTCAGCGACTCGCCACCCAGACTGGCTGCGATCTGCCGACTTTTCAACATGGCTTGATTGTCGACGAATGTATCTCTTTTACGTTTAGAGCCTTCTTTATGGATTCATAGGAGGTGTTATCAAACGCACCCTCTATGTCTATGAAAACACATAGGGCTATCTCTTTGGTTGCAATTGCCTCCTCTAAAGTGCTAGTCAAAGCATGGAAAGCGGTAATTGTTGATTTTGCTTTCTGGTAAGCATGTTGGCTAGGGTGGAGTGGATTAGTGACAAGCACTCCATTCCTGAGGTATTGACCGATTACCTTTTCCATCCCTTTGAGGAGAAATGAAGTTAGGCTAATTGGTCTGTATGCCTTGGGGTCGGCGTTTGAACGCCTATCACCTAGGTATGAAGACCACCTTTACTTTCCTCCATAGTGTGGGTATATAGCTAAAGCTGTAGCTAGCTATATATCTTCTAAAATATGATGGTAAATCAATTAAGTCCAAGATTAAGTCCAAATTGAGCCCACAAGAATAGTTTATTACAAAAACCCTAAAGTTTTCTATTTTCTTCGTTTTTCTTTTGAATATTGTTTACTTACTCATCAACCTTTAGAAGCGGTTAAAGTGTAAGCCGTAACGAATTAGTGGTATTTTACATTTACGTCTGCCAACGGCAACTAGACAATTTAATTAAGAAGTACTCAAAATAATATCCTTAATTAGAGCCCTCAAAGTTCCGTCGACCTAGCGCCGACGTCGACTAATAACGTTTTCACCCTATTTCGAAACTGCGGTAATTCAAGAGGGATATACGTCCGTTTCCGTACAAATTAAATTTGCTGAAACCGTTCGCGACGGCACGATCTCTATAAGCCCGGATGTTTACCGCTTATCTTTTTATTACTTTCAGTCCCCGGGCGCTTGGGATGGCGGGAGGAGAACCAACGTAGGAGATGGCACCGAAGAAACTATTGTATTTCACTGAAAGTTTCGTGTCAAGATTTTATCAAATCATAGCGGATTAGAGGTCTTCTAATCCAAGTATCCTAGATATTTTTAGAAAAAAAAAGGATAAAGAGATTTCCGCACATCCATTCGTGTCGGGAAATACCAAAATGTGAACAATAAAACCGGAAGTCAGGTTGGACGCGCATTTGTACAAATGAAGCGCAAACAACCCAGTGCTCCCAAATTATGTATTCAGAGTACGACAACTTCCCTTTCTAATTATCCCGTTTTTCCTGTTTGCGGAAATTCAACGTCACCGTTTTACTAGGTGCATAGTGTAACGGACATTGTTGACTCGTTGACATTTCAAAAAAGTTTTAAATCACAAATTTTGTTTCCAAAAAACTTAAATAATTGAAGAAATTCAAGCAGTATTGGTGAATTGTTAGATTGTTCGCCTAGGTCATTCTGTTTTAACGATAGAACGCCAACTCCGAGAAACTAAATACCTGCAAAATTGGTACTATTAAAGCTAAAGTAGAAAATAAACGCCTGGGTATGGTACGTGTGGAATGGGCTTGTTCTACAATTGTCTCTTATACAGGGATGAAACTGGGACTGAAATTATTCCAATGGTCGAAATGCGACGTCTTCCACTGTTTAGTGTAGAGGATACTATTCCCGGGAGTTTTTCCCTGCACGTGCCCGATTAAAGAGATATACTGCCAGAACTCTGATTGCAGGGCGATTTGGAATCAAGTTTTTTCGTGCAAAATGCGGCTCTACGAATTTCCGATCCCTGTAAAGTTCGATTCCGGAATTTAAAGCATCTACTGGCTAAATAAAACAGTCGGCCGCCTAACAAACATTCTACGATGGGAAATTTATTCTATTACCCTTCAAGATGTATTGGTTACTCCTGGACCCACTATACAATCCAAAAACACCATAAAATTGCTATTTTAATAGTTTACTACTTAGTTATTTACATAGGGAAAATTAATTAATAAATTAAAAGCTGCCCAAAGTCTCGTAAAATTTAAAATCTGTCATAAACTGAATTCGGAGTGTCATATACCACGTTCGAAACAGGGCGGAGATGAGGTTGAACAGGAAGCGAAATCCCGGTTGTATCGGCGGCAATAAATCGCTTTTGTTCCCGTAATTTCACATACATCGTACGGGCTCCATTCAAAACTTTCCAATATTAGAGACTGACTACATTTTGGAACCTTAATAGATTTATATTCTCCATTAATTATTCATAAAATATTTTAATAAAACATTGGTAATTTATTTAATGATTTTCAAATTAATTAATTACCATCTAACTCTTTGAAACTGATACAAATAATCCCAAATAAACGTAACATAGAAATTTAATAACCATAATTAATATTTTATTGAATGGGAATATAATAAATAACGTTTCATGTCATAATTAATTATTTACAAAAAACGCAAAAAGTTGTATTGGTAGGAAATTATTATCTTAAATTAAAATTAAATTTTTAATCATTTCAGTTGTTATTCAGCGTTAGGTTGTTGTATATTTTGTATATTACTTTGTTGTATGTCTAGGTTTAGTGTTAGTTCTAGTGATATTGCTAATGTTAGTTTTAAAAACTAGAATTAATATTATTTGCTTTAGTTTAGCGTATTAAATAAGACGGCTAAACACGAATGATTCTAGTTATAGGTTTAGTGTTAGTTCTAATGCTAGTGTTAGATCTAGCATTAATTGTTACTCAGCGTTAGATTGTTGTGTACTTTTATTGAACTAAAACTAGAATTACCACTAGACTGAGAACTAGAAACATTTGGGTTTAGCCGCACGTCTCTCAAGACTGCTAAACCCGAATGATTCTAGTTTTAGATCTTGTGTTAGTTCTAGTGTTAGTTCTAGTTTTACTTCAACAACAACATAAAATCTAGCGTTATCTAGTGCTAACTAGTGCTACCTAACACTGTCAGTAAAACTAATACTAGACGTAGAACTAGAAACATTTGGGTTTAGCCATTTTTAAACGTGCGGCTAAACCCAAATAATTCTAATTCTAGATCTAGTGTTAGTTCAACAATAATATACAATAAGCGCTATCTAGTAGTAACTAGTGCTATCTAGCACCGTCACTAGATCTAAAGCTAGAAACATTTGGGTTTAGCCGTCTTTAGAGACGTATGGCTAAACCCAAATGTTTCTAGTTCTAGGTCTAGTGTTAGTTCTAGTTTTACATTAGCACTATCACTAGAACTAACACAAGACCTATAGACAACATGTAT